TCGCGCTCTCGCGTGGGACTTCCTCGCAATTTGCTCAGACGCCGCGCCCTCGACACTCAGGAATAATTTTCTCGCTGTGGGTTTCCGCACGACTTATTTGGGAATCGTCCAGACTTCCTCGCGATTCATGTAGCAATCACGCTTCAGCAACCCGCCTACTCGACCTGGCCGCTTGGGCCAGGCCACCCTTCCCGACCCGCCCGTCCGGGTCTACCCACCCGATTTGCCCGTCTGGTTCTGCCACGTGTTTTCTGTTTCTAGCTCCCCTGCTTCTATTCTCTCTCGTGCTGCATCCTCCCCCCTCTCCCTTGTCCTTTCCTTCCATCCGTCCTCTCTTCTCCTGCCTGAGATGCTGCACGAAATACACGTTGCAGGTAATAAAGGTATATACCCCCAAAGGGGGTACGATCGAAGACGAAGGGGGCGGGTATCGATGGTTTTGGGATATACGTGTTGTATGGCCCGCAATCAGAGAAGAGTGAACAGTCTTAAACTGATTGTTGTTGTTGGCGGTGTTGTTGGTGTTGTTGGTGTTGTTGGTGTTGTTATTGTTGTAGTTGTTGCTGCTGTTGCTGCTGCTGTGTTTGCTGTTGTTGGTGTTGTGTTCTCTTAGGTGTATGTTGGAAGTCATGTTGAGCCATCTTGACCTCTCTTGTGCCATTTTGGAGGCCATCTTAGGCTATCGGGGACCACCCTGGGCCATCTTGCACGCTCTGCCCGTTCGCACCCCGCCCCTCCCATCCAGCGGAGAAGATAGGGTTGGAACAAGTATTTCTGAGAGAAGCACTCTTTGGGGTCATCGATGTCAGTACCAGTTGCCACGAAACGACGACCCGTACGAAACAAGCGCCAGTGTGTTCAGAACGTCGGAGCAGCTTGCAAATTATCGCTGAAGTGTTTAACGTTGCCCTCGAGAGGATCAGGAGGTCAATTATGTCATGGTGTGACAGTTGCGAGGTCACGTTTTGCGCATGCCAATCGTGTGGGGTGGCCCGACCAGGACGATATGGGCGGCGGGCGCTTCTTCTCGTAGCTCATGTTGTGCTCTGCGGTCGTGCGTCTCGAAGGTACAGATCGCAGGGACGCGTATTCTTAGTGGCTTCAAGTCCAGGGTTCGCCAGGGACTGGCTTCCCTTCCAAACAGCCGAAGCCCCCCCGAAACCCTCAGCAAACCCTCTGGGAAGGATTCCGGTGGGCTTCTCGGAGAGTTCCGGGGGGAGGGTCTGGAAGGCTTGCCCTCGTTTCCGGGCGAGACCCGTCCCTGGCGAACCCCTGGGGCTTCCTGAGCTTCCATGGGCACCCCGCCATTGCCCACCCAGCAGGCAGCCCTGTCCGATCCCCGCCCCCCCCCCGCGCGCCGCGCCCAGACCGACCCCTCCCCGCGCGCCCCGTGGGAAACCGCCCGCCGGCCTCCCCAACGCGGGCACCCCCCCCGAGCCGATGCGGCCGACAGCCTCGTCCGACCCACCCCCACCCCTGGCGAGTCGGGTCTGCGGAGACACAGGCGGTGCCGGTGGGCGGGTGCAGGTGGCTCGGCGACTCGAGCGCTAGAGATGCGTTTTGGGACACGCAGTCTCCCCTCTTCCCTTTCCCCGGCTACCCTCTACCCCATCCCATCCCCCCACTCCGATCCTCCTCCTCATCCGCCTCCCTCCTCCTCCTCCTCCTCCTCCTCCTCCTCCTCCTTCTCCTCCTCCTCCTCTTACTCTGACTTCTCCTCCTCTTCCTCATCATCATCACCACCACAATCATCAGTATTGTCATCATCATCGTCACCGTTGTTATCGTCACCATCACCGCCGCCGCCGTCGTCATCCCCACCATATCTAATCATCAGCAGCAGCATCATCATCGTCATCGACATCGTCATCGACATCGTCATCATCGTCATCGTCATCATCAGCAGCATCATCATCAACATCATCATTGTCATACGCATTGCCGTCGTCGTCATCATCAGCATTACCATCAGCATCAATATTCTTGTCATCGCCAGCATCATCATCTTCACCAGCATCATCAGCATCGCCGTCACCATCATCAACATCATCAGCATCATCATGTTCATCCTCCTCATCTTCACATCCCCCTGCGAGAGTTTGAGTTTTCTTGAGCGACGTGTGGGATGTCGCTCTTCGCCTCTTCGACCAGCGTAGTACGACCGACCTGCATGCATCTCGGATCGTGCACTCACTGCAACGCAAACGACCCAACATGAAAACCAGCACCCCCAAAGCCTCCAGAACTAATGTCACGCTGGGGAACATGGCTCGCACGGTGATGCATCATCGTTGGTGGTTTTGGTCTTCCGCTGTTTGTTTGGTGTTGGGTGGTCACACGTTCTGATCGACAAGGTCTGTATGACACGGCACTCTGTCAGGCTTTCGGGCGCGCCAGGGATTTAATAGTTGGCCGTTCCTGCCAGAGACACAGGCCACATTGCAGGGCAGTCTTAATCACTTGCGTTTGCAAGGAGTGGAGGGCCCTTCCAGTTACCCAGGCGAGTTCGGACTCTGCGAGTTCGGGCTCATCGCAACGCTCGCCTGGGCCACGAAGATCACAGAGGAGATCGTACACTTGCCCACCAAGGGTGGAGTAGGGAGCTTGCGGAAGCCTCTCCTCGGCAAGTAGGGCAGGCAGGCTAAGTGTTCTGTCTGACTAGGCCTTTGCGACTGCCTTGGCATGCGTAGTTGAATATGTTCGCGATCATGCATCCTTTGGGCAGAGAGCCATTGCCATTGCAGGCGTAGTGATTTTTCCAGTTTGAAATGGAGCGTGCCGTCCTTCAACGTTCAGCACCTTGTCATGTTGAGTCCATGGGGAGGAGCATTGAAAGATGATGGGTTTTACAAAAGCGCTTGATGTTGCCGTTTGTCTTATTGCTCGCGACCCCTTGACACTCCAACATTGCCGCGCTGGGGATGTTTTCGGACTTACGTGGGGAGGGTGTTCAGCTTGTCATCCCAGTCAGCTGGAAGTTCCAGACCCGCTTTGTCACAAACACCGAAATAAAGAGAGAGAGAGAGAGATCACAAGCAGTGGCCGGGAGTGGTCTGGCAGGGCACTTGCGCAATTGTTTGCACCTACACTCCTGCCCCTACCCTCCTGGCATCCCTCGCCTCTTCAGGCTGGCGGGATTGATGCCGGTTTCCCCCTCCATGGACGCATTGCCAATGTCGCAGCTAATGCATCATCGGAGGCGTGATCACGGTTACCGCATGCATATGTTTATGTATATGTATACATACATACATATATGTGTGGTCCCGGTATATCTACCGATCGAATGCAGTGTCGGTCTTAGTTTCTCTTTCAGCCGATCTTGCAATCAATCGATCAGTTGAGGACACTACCTGTCGGATTACAAATTGTCAACCAATTTTGCTATCAATCAACCTGTTGGTACCACAGAGCATCTAACTTTACACGGTCAATCAATATCAATACATACATACCGTTTCCCCACACATGAGTCTACATGCGGGCACGACTCTTCATGATCAGTCTTCTGTTGCGGCTGTTCCTCTTCCTCTTCCTCTTCCTGTGTTTCCGCCTCCTCCTCATCGTCTTCCGCCTGCTGTGAAAGGAGGAGGAGGAGGAGGAGGAGAGGAGGAGAAACCGGCGCGGCACGTGAAAACTATTGCGTTTTCCAGGTGTCCCAGATCTTGCGACTGACAGTAGATGTGTTGTTTGTATGTCACAAGTTTTCAAAGTTGCGGAAACACTGAAACGCTGCGTTTGATGTTTGATGTCAGGTTTATGCTTTTCGCATTTGAGATTTCTTGCATAGACTGCGCAGGCTGGGTGAGCAGGACGTTCTAAACAAAGTAAGATATGATATTTTGGGAGAAACAGCGATCTGGTGCTTCCGAACATGTGAACAGTGGGAATATGACAACCCAAACCTGATTAGCACACTGTTTATCAGATGCCGCGCCTTTTTGTCTCTATCTTTTTTGTTGTTTCTCGGTTTCTCTCTCTCTCTCTCTCTTTTGTTTCTCTCTCTCTTTCTCTCTTTGCTTCTTTTTCTCTCCCTCTCCCTCCTCTTCCATTCCACATGCCTCGGTTTCTCTCTCTCTCTCTCTCTTCCCATAACCTTCTGCCCTCACTCCCTTGCCCCCAAAACAGCTGACCTCATTGTTCACATGTTTGTCATGTTCCTTGCGCGTGACGGAAAATGTGAATAGCAGTGTTTCGTGGTATTCTTGCTTCGTTAGATCCGAGGGGGGAGGATGAGAAGCAGGTAAAGGAGGTTGGGGATAAGGAAGAGATGTTGGAGGAACAGGGGCCAGAGGAGGACGGCCAAGAGGAGGGGCATTCATTTGTCGTTTTCTTCGTCGTCCTCCCACCGTCCTCATTATTCTTGCCCCCACCATTGTCGTTCCCCTCCCCCCCCCTGCCCTTCCTCATCGTCATCATCCCCCTCCCCTTCGTCCTGCTCCTCCCCCTTCCCCTCGTCCTCCTCCTTTTCCTCCCCGTCCTCCAGGGCCAAGGGAAAGATGGAAGCAGGTGGAGGAGACGGAGACACAGGAGGCAGAGAGCGACAACAGCAAGGACCAGATATCACGGCAACGGTCAGCAGCCTACAAAGGTTGGCCTTGACGAGCGCAAGCCCGATCAAAGACATCTTGCACCCGAGCGAAGATTCCTGGCTGACCGATGCGAAAGTGGAACCTGTCAGGAGAGCGCTGGACGCCGGTAAGGTGCACCGAGTAAGGGTCAGAGGAGCAGGACAAGGACACAAATATGGCCCTCCGCATGCGCAGGTGGTGATTTCGCAAGCAGAGGGCTTGCAGGAGCTCGCGGAGAACCTTTGCGGAGAGAGGGGGCTTGCGGAAGGAAATGGGCTGGGCGAAAGAAGTACTGACATTTTGGATGTTGCTTGTCAGCACCAGCAAGAAGGGCCTGACGATCACATAAAGCTTTCTCATGTGCAAGGTGGCGGAAGCAAGCGGAAAACGAAAGGCTCGGAGAGAGCAGACAAAGCGGCGAGCGCGGGGACGATCACGTTGGCAGGCAACTTCGCGCCACAGTTCAGAGTCGCATTGGCCGCAGCAGGAGTAGAAGAAGGAAGCAGAGGTGGAGAAGCCAGACAGGTTCAGAGGGCACCACCTTCGGCAAGCAACACGCAGCATCCTGGCCAAGACGGGGGCGACGGGATCAGCGGGGGCAGGACCACGCACAGAGCTGGAGAGAGCAGAGGAAGGCCAGCTGCGCGCGTCGCCCAAGAAACTATGCGAGCCAGGGCAGTGAAAGCGGCTCGCCAGAAGACAGCACAGGCCAGCTCCACAGCAATATGCAGGGCCCGCCGACGCAGCCGGCTTAGCCCAGTCGGCCGCCCAGAACGAGGACCCCACTCCAACAAACGGCACATTGGAGCAGAAGATTGCAGACGAGTTCAGACGATATCAGGGTGTCAAGGTGCTCTTTTTGTCCAGGCAAGCGTCCACGAAACGCGCGCTCTCTCTCTCTGTCTTTCTTGTATTAGATACATGTCCTTCTCATATGTTTTGTGATAGTATATGATAGGATTATCGTACATGTGTATATAATTATATTTCTATACAGATATGTATACATCCGACTATATTATATTATGCTCTAGCCTTCCGATTCTATTCATATATTTTCACCGGGCCGTGGACCCCAGAAAAAGGTCCCCCCTTCCCCCCCCCCTAACGAATGTGGCCCACCCTGGGCCTTTCGGGCAACCCTCCTGACGACCCGGGAGAAGCCCACGAGAGCCCGAAGACGGCCCCAGAGGGCTCCAGGCGTTCCGGCGCCTTCCCGAAACGACACCAGAGAGTCCCAAGACGGTCCACGACGACCCCAAAGAAGTCGTCAAATCCTCAAAGATCGCTCCAAAACGTCCCAACGATTGTCGCGATGGCTGTCACAATAACTGTTCCGATGGCTGTCCCGATAAGTGTCCTGCCTGTTGTCCCGATGATTACTCCGATGCTTGTCCAACCGGTGATCGACCCGATGGGTGGTTGTCCCGCAGGTTGTCCCAATGGTTGTCCCGATAGATGGTTGTCCCAACGTTTGCCCCGATGGCTGTCTCGATTTTTTTGCCGATAGCTGTCTCGATGGTTGTCCCGATAGCTGTCCCGATGATGGTTGTCCCGATAGTTCTCCCGGTAGATGGTAGATGATTGTCCCGACAAAGCGGCTGTACCAATAGATGGCAGTCCAGATAGATGGTTGGCCGGGTAAATAGTTGACCCGATAGACGGCTGTCATGCCAGTTGTCCCGATGGTTTTCCCGATGATTGCCCCGCGGTTGCCCTGGTGGTTATCCCGATGGTTGCCCCGATATTTCCGCCGATGGCTGTCCCGATGCTGTATGATTGTCCCTGTGGTTGCCCCGTTGATTGTGCTGGTGTTTGTCCCGATGGCTGTCCTGAAAGATAGACACTGATATCGATTGATATAGTGAAGGCGAGATCGATACAGATATAGTGAGACCGATCGAAAGGCAGACAGACCAGAAATGTGCATATATACATTGTGATACACTGACAAATTATGAGACCAGTGAATGGATTACACAATGACAATGCGACCGGTAGTGAGACCGATATAAGAAAATCTCATTGAATATAGTACAGCATGATATAATTCAAGACTGCGTTGGCGCTTCGCGCCATGCTCCTTGGTCCTTGAAGTTTGGCATGCAGGCTGAATGGCAGGAAGGTCAAGCCGACAATTTAGCGATAACTCCTTGTTGCCTTTTCCGGCATCGCCGTTATAATCATGTTACTCGTTATCTTTCCTCCATTGTTTCATTCTCGCCATACCCTGCCCATTCTCCCCATCCTTCTCAGCTCTTTTTGCGGAGGATCATCCTCGGAGAGCCTTTGGGGACCTCACAACAGTTTTTCAGGCGTTCTTAAAGCCTTTTGGGGGCCTCCTGGGCGTCTTCTGCGGGCCTCTGGGGGCTTCTTCTCGCCATCCTGCCTCCAACCGCCGTCTCCCTGAACGACCGGGTCACGATTTGGAATGCTTCGGAGGGCATCTTAGGGCCATCTTGGCCATCATGGGGCTCTCTTAGGCCATCTTGGAGCCTTGTTGTGCCGTCTCGGGGCTCTCTTGAACTGTCTGGAAGCTCTTTCCGATTGTTGTGGGGCGATTTTCGAGCCTCCCAGGCAGCTTGGGACGCCCAGAAGACCGCCGTCTTAAAGCGTCGGGAAGCCGAAAAGAGAACCCCCAAATTCAAGGACAAACAAATGAAAATCTATGATTTTTGCATCTTGGGTGCTTCGTCGGAGTGCTCCTGGACCAGCGGGACAACTATCTATCGGGTCGGGACAACCATCGGGACAAGCATGGGACAACCGACGGGACAGCCAACGTGACAAGCATCGGGACAACCATCGGGATAACCATCGGGACAAACATTGGGACAACCATCAGGATTACCATCGGGACAACCAGCGGGACAGCCAGCGGAACAACCATCGGGACAACCATCGGAAGAACCATCGGGGCATTCATCAGGACAACCATCAGGACAACCATCGGAACAACCTTCGGGACAGCCGGAGAGCAGCGCCTGGACACGGGGTAGGGGGGGGCGGCTCATCCTGGCCTGGGGCGGGCGCTCGCGCAGTTTCGTCTCGCCCGCCCGCGCGCAGGTCACGTGCGAAACGAGACATTTTTCCAGGTTGGGGCACCTCACGTTTTACTTTGGTCTCTCCCCTCCAGCCTCCAATTTGAAATCGTGTATTACTGGTGTCACGCTTTTGTCCATCAGTCCCGTCCCTGCGTGGTCGCCCTCGACACAGGTCCACTTGCAGAGTGGCAGGTCCCTCTCCATCGTCCATGTCTGAATACCAACTCGCTCTGCTGATCCCCAAGCACGTTTCTTCTATCGTATCCATCTGCCTGCGGCAAAACCCCGCCACCGTGCCTGTGCAAAAGCACGGTAGGGAGGAGGAGGATGAGGAGGAGGAGGAGGAGGAGGAGGAGGTGGAGGAGGAGGAGGAGGAGGAGGGGGAGGAGGAGGAGGAGGAGGAGGAGGAGGGGGACGAGGCGGAGGAGGAGGATGGGGAGGAGGAGGAGGCGGAGAGGGAGAAAATGAAGACAAGAAGGAGAAGGCCTCATAGGGGATCTTTAGCCCTCTTCGGAGCCGCCTGGGGACATATTGGGGGTCTCGTGGGGGCCTCTTGGACGCCTCTTGGGGCCTCTTTGGGCGTTCTTAGGGGGCCCTTGGCCCGTCTGAAGCCCTCGGAGTCCGTCTCGGGAGCCTCTCTGAGCCAGGTTGGTGCCCTCTTGGAGCGCTTTAGGGCTGTCTTCGGCGATCTCGGGTCTTCTTGGGCCGACTTGGGGACCTCATGGGCTGCCTGGGAGCTATCTTGGAAGCCTCTTGGGCCGTCTTGGGTGGTCGGAGACCCAAACAGGTGAGAACCTCAAAGTCCTTCAAGAAGGCACGGGAGCCCAAGGTGTTTTGCATCTTTGGGCTCCCCTGGAGGGCCTCTTGGAGCCCTCTTGGGTCGTCTTGGCAGCCTCTCGAGCCGTCTTGAGGCAATTTAGGAGTCTCTGATGCCGTCTTTGACCGTCTTGGGTCGTCCTGATGTCATCTTGACTGTCTCGGAAGCCGTCTTTGAAGCCTCTTAGGCCGTCCTTGAGCAGAAAGGAGCGCCTGAGAGCAAATTCAGAACGGGGCGGTTTTCGAGGGGCGCGTGTGGCAAAGGGGGGGTCGGCATCCGAAAACATTAAAAACCTTCTAGACGACAGGCTAGCATTCTATCACGCCCACTCCGTGCAGGCACGGTGGCAGATTCACCAGGGTCTTTCTTCGTCGAGTGGAATTGGAATCAAGGTACATGTTAGGACTCGCGTATTGTTTTAATCCAGAAAGTCGAGCGCAACTTCTGCGTGATTAGCATTTGTTTCGTAGATTGGTGAGGGATGCGCGATTGGCTCGTGCCATGGCCATCTCATGTAGAATCGGGAAGGCGTTCCAGCATCCCGAAAGCGGTATGCGGTGGAAGTCGATCATTTGTTCGACGCAGAGGCCCCAGCCTCAGTTTTCACACGCCATTCTTCTGTGAGTGCACCGTATACCGCGCTTTGGCGACCCCATGCGATCTCGTGTGCCGTTCGTTGGAGACCCCATGCGCCAGATTTGCAACGTCTAATATTAGCATCATCTCAGAGAGATCGATGGCATCGCATGCGCATCCTGATCTGGCACCTCTTGATATGATTTCTGTCGTTCGGCTGCATTTTCACGTGGATCTCATGACGCTCAGAGGATGCAGGTCGAGAGGGCCAAGCTGCGTCTTTTCCATGCTGGAGGGCTTAGCAGAGTGGTCTCGTCTTACATGCCATATGCATGCGGGTATGCATGTGGCGTCAAGGGTGCATGGGCATATTCGCCGGTCGACTGGAGGGCAGCATCAGATTGAGCATGGTGCTTGGGCTCCAGGCCTGACTCAGCTTCGGCTGGAGCGCATCTTTGCGACTCACGTCCAACATTTGTCGTTCAGTCTGGTTCAAGAGTCCTCTGTCCGCGAGTCAATTCCTCCGCCTTCGTCGCAGCCAACCAACTCCCTGGACCTGTTCCAGAGCGCGCTCTGACCGGTCTTCCCGGGTGGATCCATCCGTGACGATTTGTGCCCCCCACGAGGCCCAGCAGGGCAAGCAAAACCGTTCTGGTTTCCCCCCGTGGAGCGAAGCTCCCAGGCCAGGGTGGGGTGACCCTCACCGCCACGCGGCGGTGGCGCAGGTGGGCACTGTCACTCAGCCCCTACTGAGGAGGAGGAGGAGGAGGAGGAGGAGGAGAAGGAGGAGGAGGAGGAGGAAGAGGAGGAGGAGGAAGCGGAGGGGGAGGAGGAGGAGGAGGAGGA